ATCCAATCCGACCAAATAGTCCACGGGATTCACAGTCCCAGGACTCAAGTCCGATGGTTTCTAATCCCCCCTTTTCCAGTCCGTCCAATCAAACACACCCTAAGGTGACTTAGAAAACTTTAAATGAGATGCTTAAGTTAGACTAATACGGTTTTGCACAATCACTAAGTAAAATCTCTTTTCTAGAGGCTTAGCAAGGTTAGTTTGAGTTAAACTTGGCCACTTAAGCTAATGAAACTGTTCGTTGCCTAAGCTAATTAGTTCCTAGAAGAAAAGAGAGCGGGGCGAAGAGAGTTAGAGAGAAACTTTCTTCCTGAGAACTAGAAGAGATAGTTGGGGAAAAGGGAGGTAAATAGAATGAAACTTACAGGGAATTGAAATTCATCGATTTGGATATGAGAATTGAACACTTAGGTGATTTAGATAACATGGAACGAGTTGCTTAAGTTAAACTATTAACGATAAGCTACGATTTTTCCGTAAATTACCTTTCTTGGAGGCTAAGCAAGATTAGTTTGAGTGAAACTTGGCCTCTTAAGCCAATGAAACTGATAGCTGCCTCAGCTAATTAGTTTCTGCAATAAAAGAGCGAAGGTTCTAGAAGGACGAAGGGGGTAAGAGAAAATCTTTCTTCCCTGGTGGTGGAAGAGAAAGTTTGGGCAAAGAATGGGAAATATGATGCGAATTGAAATTCAACTTTTTGGACTTGAGAATTGAACACTTAGGTTATTTAGAAAGCATTAAATGAGTTGCTTAGGTAAAGGTAATATCGTTAAGCGACCATTACTCCGTACATTCTCTTTCTTGGAGGCTAAGAAAGATTAGTTGGAGGTAAACTTAGCCATCTAAGCCAATGATACTAATAGTTGCCTATGCTAATTGGTTTGTAGAAGAAAAGAGAGAAGGTTGGAGAAGGACGGAGAGAGTTAGGGAAAAAACAAGAAGTTAGAGAGACGATAGGAAGAAAATTAAAGGAAATTCAAATTCATCCGTTTGGACTTGAGAACTGAACACTTAGGTGATTTAGAAAACATGAAATGAGTTGCTTAAGTTAAACTAATATCGTTAAGCTACAATTACCCCGTATATTCTCAGTCTTGTAGGCTAATCAAGACTAGTTTGCGTGCAAAAGGGAGAAGGTCGGAGAAGGACGGAGAGAGTTAGTGGAAAACTTTCTTCTTGAGTGGTAGGAGAGAAAGTTAGAGAGAAGAAAGGGAATTAGGATGCAAATTAAAGGGAATTCCAGTTCATCCTCTTGGACTTGAGAATTGAACACTTAGGTGATTTAGAAAACTTTAAATGAGATGCTTAAGTTAGACTCATACGGTTTTGCACAATCACTAAGTAAAATCTCTTTTCTGGAGGATTAGCAAGATTAGTTCGAGTTAACCTTGGCCACTTAAGCTAATGAAACTGTTCGTTGCCTAAGCTAATTAGTTCCTAGAGCAAAAGGGAGAAGGTTAGAGAAGGACGGAGAGAGCAAGAGGAAAAAGAGAAAGCTAGGGAAATGAAAGGGAATTGGGATGAAAATTAACGGGAATTCAAATTCGTCCGTTTGGGCTTGAGAACTGAACACTTAGGCGATTTAGAAAATATGAAATGAGTTGCTTAAGTTAAACTAATATCGTTAAGCTACAGTTACTCGGTAAACTCTCTTTCTTGGAGGCTAATCAAGATTAGTTTGCGTGAAACTTGGCCTCTTAAGATAATGACTAAGCTAACTTGTTCCTACAATAAAAGAGAGAACGTTCTAGAAGGACGAAGAGAGTTAGAGAGAATCTTCGCTCCTGAGTGGTAGAGGAGAAAGTTAGAGAAAAGAAATGGAAATACGAAGAAAATTAAGGCCAATTCAAAATCATCTTTTTGGACTTGAGAATTGAGCACTTAGGTGATTTAGAAAACATTAAATGAGTTGCTTAAGCAAAAGAAATGTCGTTAAGCTACAATTGCACCATATATTCTCTTTCTTAGAGGCTAAGAAAGATTAGTTCGAGTTAAACTTGGCTGCTTAGGCTAATGAAACTAATAGTTGCCTAAGCTAGTTTGTTCCTAGAACAAAAGCAAGAGGGTCGGAGAAGGACGGAGAGAGTTAGAGGAAAACTTTCTTCTTTAGTGGTAGGAGAGAAAGTTAGAGAGAAGAAAGGGAATTAGGATGCAAATTAAAGGGAATTCAAGTTCATCCTCTTGGACTTGAGAATTGAACACTTAGGTGATTTAGAAAACTTTAAATGAGATGCTTAAGTTAGACTAATACGGTTTTGCACAATCACTAAGTAACATCTCTATTCTGGAGGCTTAGCAAGATTAGTTCGAGTTAAACTTGGCCACTTAAGCTAATGAAACTGTTCGTTGCCTAAGCTAATTAGTTCCTAGATGAAAAGAGAGCGGGGCGGAGAGAGGTAGAGAGAAACTTTCTTCCTGAGAACTAGAAGCGATAGTTGGGGAAAAGGGAGGTAAATAGAATGAAACTTATAGGGAATTGAAATTCATCGACTTGGATATGTGAATTGAACACCTAGGTGATTTAGATAACATGGAACGAGTTGCTTAAGTTAAATTATTAACGATAAGCTACGATTTTTCCGTAAATTACCTTTCTTGGAGGCTAAGCAAGATTAGTTTGAGTGAAACTTGGCCACTTAAGCCAATCAAACTGATAGCTGCCTTAGCTAATTAGTTTCTGCAATAAAAGAGCGAAGGTTCTAGAAGGACGGAGGGGGTAAGAGAAATCTTTCTTCCCTGGTGGTGGACGAGAAAGTTTGGGCAAAGAATGGGAAATATGATGTGAATTGAAATTCAACTTTTTGGACTTGAGAATTGAACACTTAGGTGATTTAGAAAGCATTAAATGAGTTCCTTAGGTAAAGGTAATATCGTTGAGCTACCGTTACTCCGTACATTCTCTTTCTTGGAGGCTAAGAAAGATTAGTTGGAGGTAAACTTACCCACCTAAGCCAATGATACTAATAGTTGCCTATGCTAATTGGTTTGTAGAAGAAAAGAGAGAAGGTTGTAGAAGGACGGAGAGAGTTAGGGAAAAAAACAGGAAGTTAGAGAGACGATAGGGAATTAGGAAGAAAATTAAAGGAAATTCAAATTCATCCGTTTGGACTTGAGAATTGAACACTTAGGTGATTTAGAAAACATGAAATGAGCTGCTTAAGTTAAACTAATATCGTTAAGCTACAATTACCCCGTAAATTCCCAGTCTTGTGGGCTAATAAAGATTAGTTTGCGTGAAGCTTGGCCTCTTAAGATAATGACTAAGCTAATTTGTTCCTACAATAAAAGAGAGAACGTTCTAGAAGGACGGACGGAGAGAGTTAGGGAGAATCTTTCTTCCTGAGTGGTAGAGGAGAAAGTTAGAGAAGGGAAATGGAAATACAATGAAATGTAAGGCGAATTCAGATTCATCCTTTTGGACTTGGGAATTGAGCACTTAGGTGATTTAGAAAACATTAAATGAGTTGCTTGGGTAAAAGTAATATCGTTAAGCTACAATTACTCCGTATATTCTCTTTCTTGGAGGCTAAGAAAGATTAGTTTGAGCTAAACTTGGCCACCTAAGCTAATGATACTAATAGTTGCCTAAGCCAATTAGTTCCTAGAGAAAAGGGGAGAAGGTTAGAGAAGGACGAAGAGAGCAAAGAGGAAAAAGAGAAAGCTAGGGAAATGAAAGGGAATTGGGATGAAAATTAACGGGAATTCAAATTCGTCCGTTTGGGCTTGAGAACTGAACACTTAGGCGATTTAGAAAACATGAAATGAGTTGCTTAAGTTAAACTAATATCATTAAGCTACAGTTACTCCGTAAACTCTCTTTCATGGAGGCTAATTAAGATTAGTTTGCGTGAAACTTGGCCTCTTAAGATAAATGACTAAGCTAACTTGTTCCTACAACAACAGAGAGAACGTTCTAGAAGGACGGAGAGAGTTAGAGAGAATCTTCGGTCCTGAGTGGTAGAGTAGAAAGTTAAAGAAAAGAAATGGAAATACGAAGAAAATTAAGGCCAATTCAAAATCATCTTTTTGAACTTGAGAATTGAGCACTTAGGTGATTTAGAAAACATTAAATGAGTTGCTTAAGCAAAAGAAATGTCGTTAAGCAACAATTGCACCGTATATTCTCTTTTTTGGAGGCTAAGAAAGATTAGTTCGAGTTAAACTTGGCCGCTTAGGCTAATGAAACTAATAGTTGCCTAAGCTAGCTTGTTCCTAGAACAAAAGCGAGAGGGTCGGAGAAGGACGGAGAGAGTTAGAGGAAAACTTTCTTCTTGAGTGGTAGGAGATAAAGTTAGAGAGAAGTATGGGAATTAGGATGCAAATTAAAGGGAATTCAAGTTCATCCTCATGGACTTGAGAATTGAACACTTAGGTGATTTAGAAAACTTTAAATGAGATGCTTAAGTTAGACTAATACGGTTTTGCACAATCACTAAGTAAAATCTCTTTTCTGGAGGCTTAGCAAGGTTAGTTCGAGTTAAACTTGGCCACTTAAGCTAATGAAACTGTTCGTTGCCTAAGCTAATTAGTTCCTAGAAGAAAAGTGAGCGGGGCGGAGAGAGTTAGAGAGAAACTTTCTTCCTGAGAACTAGAGGAGATAGTTGGGGAAAAGGGAGGTAAATAGAATGAAACTTACAGGGAATTGAAATTCATCGATTTGGGTATGAGAATTGAACACTTAGGTGATTTAGATAACATGGAACGAGTTGCTTAAGTTAAACTATTAACGATAAGCTACGATTTTTCCGTAAATTACCTTTGTTGGAGGCTAAGCAAGATTAGTTTTTCGTGAAACTTGGCCTCTTAAGCCAATGAAACTGAGCTGCCTCAGCTATTTAGTTTCTGCAATAAAAGAGCGAAGGTTCTAGAAGGACGGAGGGGGTAAGAGGAAATCTTTCTTCCCTGGTGGTGGAAGAGAAAGTTTGGGCAAAGAATGGGAAATATGAGACAGTGATGGGCTTAGTCGTATTGCGAGTGCAGTGGGTGTTACGTTGTTTATGGATAATCTTACAGAGAAGGGAAGTCGGGTTTCATTTGCTAGAGTTTGTGTAGAAGCTGATGCCAATTCCACACTGCCGTCTATGTTCAAAGCAAACTGTGGGGGTGAAGAGGTGGTCATCCATGTGGAATATCAAGGGCTTCCTCCCAAATGTGACCACTGTATAGCTTTTGGCCATGATACTACTAAGTGCGTGAAGTCCCAAGTAGCCCATTTGATTTCCCTTCAAAAGGAGACTGAAGATCATCTTGATCCAGGATGGAGTACAGTGAAAGCCAAGGGTAAAAGGAAAGTGGGGGACCTTATCTTGGACACTGAGCAACTAGAAGTGCAAGAGGGGGCTACTCAGGAAATTCACGAAACTGGTCAGAGCCTTCCACCTAAAGCATCCCTGGAAGTGGTAGTTGAGAACTTAAGTGATGGGCTTAAGGAAATTGATCAGAGGGTTAGTGCTGGGGAGCATTCAGTTCCCAACCTCGAAGGGCTGGATGAGCTTCAGAAGGAGTTGATGGCGCTTACCAAGCTGGTCCTACCACATGATACAGATCTCATCAAGAAAGTGGAAAATTTGAAGGGTACTACACCAAAAAAAGTTGTTCCAACAGAAGAGCAGGCAAAACAAACCCACTCTGCAAAAAGTAGCTCCTCTGGCAAGGGCAACAAGAGCCAGAGGAAGAAACAAAGGTAAGTCCCAGTTTAGTTTGGTTGTGGGTTAGTAAATTTTTGTTGTTTCCAATGACTTTTAAAATTGCATCATGGAATGTCAGAGGGTTTAATGACCCTTCTAGGCATAAAGAAGTTAAAAAAATTTTGAATCGTGAAGATATTAAGGTCTTGGGCATTTTGGAGACCAAAATAAAAGCTACAAATGAAAATCGTATTTTATCATCTTGTTTAAATAATTGGTCCTTTTTGACTAACTCACTTCCTACTCAAACTGGGAGAATTTGTGTATGCTGGGATACTACCTTTTGTTCAGTTAAGTTAATTGAGTCATCTGATCAATTTTTGCTGTGTGAAATCACTGATTTTGCGAAAGATGCTGCTTTTAAAGCCTGTTTTGTTTATACCGATAATAGGCATATTGTTAGGAAGGAGTTTTTTGAATACATGGTCAGGACCGCTTGTCTGCTGTCCAAAGACCCTCTGATTATGTTAGGTGATTTTAATGCTATTCGGTATGGGTCTGAGAAGTTTGGTGGCTCATCTGTGTGGTCTAGTGAAAAAGAAGCTTTAAATTCTCACATCCTTCAATCTGAATTGGTGGATTTATCTTATGGTGGTTGCCAATTCACTTGGGCTAATAAAAGAGACAGTGGGGACTATATTGCAACTAAAATTGATAGAGTTCTGGTAAATGAATCGTGGCTTGATTCTTTCTCAGCTTCCTCTGCCTATTTTCATCCCTCATCTGTCTCTAATCACTCCCCGGCTGTGGTCACTGTCTCTACTGATGTGGTCTCTTTTAAGAAACCTTTTAAATTTTTTGATTTTTGGGCTCAACATGAAAACTTTATTCCTACTGTGTCTGAGGTGTGGAATCAGTATATCCCGGGGGTTCCTATGTTTCGTATTTGTCAAAAACTCCGCGACTTGAAGCTTGGTCTTAAAGCTTTGAACAAAAAGGATTTTAGTGATATCTCCACTAGAGTCCTGGCTATGAGTTCGGAGTTAAATTATGTTCAGTGGAAGTTGGACAAGGACCCTGGCAATCCTGTTCTACAAACACTTGAAAAGAGTCTCTATAAACAGTATGTGGATCTTAGTGCTGTTGAAGAAAGTTTGGCTCGCCAAAAGTCTAGGATCCAATGGCTTGGTTTGGGGGATAGTAATAGCAAGTTCTTCTTTAGGTCTATTAAAGGCAACATTAATCGGGGTAAAATTCTCTGTATTGAGAGACATGATGGGCTTAGAACTTCTAAGCCTGAGGATATTCAAGACGCTTTCATTAGCTTCTTTACTGGCTTATTTGGCAAGCCTATTGATGATCACTATAATGGTTTTGCTAGGATTAATGAAAACTAAGCTGTCTCAAGACCAGTCTTTGATGCTTGCTAGTCCTGTGTCTGATAAGGAGATTAAAGATGTCTTTTGGTCGTTAAAACCCAATAAGGCCCCTGGCCCTGATGGGTTTTCTGCTGGCTTCTTTAAGAGCTCCTGGGATGTTGTTGGTAGAGAGGTCACCCAAGCCATCAGAACTTTCTTTGAATCTGGTAAGTTACTCTCTGAAGTCAATAGTACTATTATCGCTCTTATTCCTAAAGTTCCTAACCCTGTAAAAGTTGGGGACTATAGGCCTATCTCCTGCTGTAATACCATTTATAAGTGCATTGCGAAAATTATTGCTAATAGGATTAAAACAGTTCTCTCTGAACTGATTGATCCTGTTCAGTCCGCATTTGTTTCTGGTAGGAAAATATCTGATAATATTTTCCTTTCCCAAGAGCTTCTGAGAGGGTACCATAGAGGTTCCCCTACTCCTAAGTGTGCCATGAAAGTGGACATTATGAAAGCTTATGATAGCGTTAGATGGGAGTTTATCATTGACATTCTTCGAGCTATGGGCTTTCCTCCTATTATGGTGTCTTGGATACAAGCGTGCATTACTAGCCCTTCCTTCTCTATCAGTATCAATGGTAGCCTGCATGGCTATTTTAGAGGTGCTAGGGGGCTTAGACAAGGTGATCCCATGTCCCCCTACCTTTTTGTCCTAGCCATGGAAATTCTTGCTAGGATTTTTGCTGAAAAGTCTCATCTCCCGGCTTTCAAGTTTCATTGGCGATGTGACAAAACTAAAATTGTTAACCTCTGTTTTGCTGATGATCTTATGATCTTTTGTAGAGGGGATGTCCCCACGATTGAACTAATCATGGCTGGCCTTGATGAGTTTAGTAGCCTTTCTGGCCTCACTCCTAGCTCTAACAAGAGCAATATCTACTTCTCTGGTTGCAACCATGAGTTAAGAGAGTCGATCCTTAGAGTTGCTAAGTTTAGTGAAGGGACCCTCCCTGTTAAATATCTTGGGGTTCCTCTCATTACTACTAAGTTAAGAGCGATTAACTGTAACCAACTCACTGATAGAATCACTAAGAGGGTTAAGAGCTGGACTAACAGAATTCTTTCATATGCTGGAAGAGGCCAGCTCATTCAGACCATTCTCTTTTCTATGCAAGTGTATTGGTCTTCTCTTTTCATTCTTCCTAAGAAGGTGATTAAGGAGATTGAGAGTATCCTTTGGGCGTTTCTTTGGTCTGGTACTGAGCTCAAAAAGCATAGTGCTAAAGTTGCGTGGGACAAGGTGTGTGCTCCTAAAAATGAGGGCGGTTTGGGTTTTAAATCCATTGAGATTTGGAATAGGGCTGCTATTGCTAAACACATTTGGTTTCTGTTTTCCGGGGGTGAACAATCTATGTGGTGCCAATGGGTAAAATCGTATTTACTCAAGGGTAGAAGTTTCTGGCGTGTCAACACTCCTAGTGACCCTTCTTGGGTTTGGAGGAAGCTATTGTCTCTTAGGAATATTGTCTCCCCTCTTATTCTTCACAAGATAGGTAAGGCTGACTCCACATTCCTTTGGTATGATAATTGGCATCCTCTTGGGCCCCTCTGGGATAGATATGGGGATAGAATTCTGTATGATTCTGGCTTTAATAGTGAGACCAAAGTTAGTCAAATTGTTCGTGGTAACTCCTGGCATTGGCCTTTCCCTAATTCATGGGAAATTCAGGAGTGGATCTCGTCTACTCCTGAGAGTTGTAGACCTGATCCCTCTAGTAATGATCTTATTAGTTGGACCCTCACTTCTGATGGGGAATTCACCATCAAGTCTACTTGGCACCACTGGAGAAGCAAGTTTGCCAAAGTAGCTTGGCATGATTTTGTCTGGGGTCCCCATAAAATACCTAAGGTTAGCTTTATTGTCTGGCTTGCTATTCAGGAGAGGCCTAATACTGGTGATAGAGTGTTTGCTTTTGGGGTGATCACAACCTGCTCCTTTTGTCAGGATCCCAATGAAAGTCACTCTCATCTCTTTTTTGATTGTCTATTCTCTTCTAGAGTTTGGCATGCTATTCAAGGTAAATGCAATGTTAACTGGCCTGATCTTCATTGGCCTGAGATCATTACTCATGCTACAGGAGAAACTAAGGGTAAAACTCTCAGAGCTAATGTCCTTAAGTTGGCTTTGATGTGCACTGTTTACAATCTTTGGCTTGAGAGGAATAACAGAAAATTCAGTAATGTCTCTAAACCTGAAGAGGTTGTTTTCAAATCTATTATTCACATGGTTAGGGGGAGATTACTATCTGTTAATAACTTTCCCAGATCTCCAGGGGATAACTGGTTTCTATCTCATTGGAACTTGCCTGAAATTGTTTTGAAGCCCCTTTTCTCTGTCAGGAATGGGAGGGCTGCTGAGTGATGTGAGTTTCTCTACATGAGGGTTGAGTGAAGGAGAGCAAAATTTTGTTTCCTAATTGTTTGCTCATCTTTGTAGTTGCTGTGCTTATGGATATCTCTTGAGAGTTGAGTGCTGTGAGAAACATACACTTTCTGTAGCTTATTGTGGGTTGAGTGAATTTTGTCCTCAAATTGTTTGTACTAATGTTTACATATATAGTAATTTTTATATGCAGGCTAAGGATGCTGTTATTGAGTGGTGTGAGTTCTTATACTGTGGGTCGAGTGATGTGAGGTCCTATATTGTGGGCTTTATCATTATGTTCCTGAAGTATGGTCTTCTTCCTTCATTTGGTTAATGTCTTCAAGTTACACAATGCAGGGTTTACTACAGAGTGTAAGCAAGGTATGGGTTGCATGGGAGGTCAGCTGTGTCTCCATGGGCATTGCTGGTTTGCTGGTACAAATGTCTCGGGTTTAAGAGTTTCCTGGTGCATGGTTATGGCTGCTTGTAGCGCCTCTGGTGGGAAGATTGTCTTTCTTTTCCGTTATGTTAACTTCTTATGGTTGGACATTATAGATGGTTTGCTGTGTTTAATTCCTTTTGGCCTATCCGTGCGGGATGTGCATGGCATTTCTGTTTTGTTGTTTTTTGGGTTTCGAACAGTGGATTATGGTACGCATGTGAGATGTACATGGTCTTCATTCGACATGTTCCTCTTTTGCAACGGAGAAATATCTGTGGATAGCATCCTAGGTCATCTGCTAAATGGGATAGCAAAGGGATGGACTTCAGCTTTTTTGTTGACTTTGGCTGCTGGAAATGCCCATGATGTGATGAACCTTTTGTTTTTTATTTATTTTATTATTTGGTTGTCAAAGCCTGATGAATGCTTGTTTTATTTCTTGGTCTTATGCTTTACCTGCGGGATGTGCATGGTTAAGCTGGTCTGTATGGTCCCGAACCTGTTTGATTGTGTTCATCTTTCCCATATGTTTATTATGGGATACATGAACATTTTTGTATGTTCGGGTCTGTGTCGGTTTGTGTGGACTGTCCATTAGGCTTTGTATGTTTTTTGGTATTTTGGCTCGTTTTCAATTTCTTAGTTTGTTGATCTAGACTGTTTTTTTTGTTCTTTTGGTTAGGGCCGGGCATGCCCCTTGTATATGTGTAAATTTCTGTGTTTTTAATTTATGACTTATTCACCCAAAAAAAAAAAAATAGAGAAGGATGGAGAAAGTTACAGAGAAACATTATTCGTGAGAGCAAGAATAGAAAGTTAGCGAAAAGAAAAAGAAATAGGAAGAAAATCAAAAGAAATTCAAATACATCGTTTTAAACTTGAGAATTCAACGCTTAGATGATTTAGAGAACCTTAAATGAGGTGATTAAGTTAATCTAAAATATTAAGCTACAATTAGTCCAGAAATTCTTTTTCTTGGAGGCTAAGCTAGGTTAGTGTTAGCTAAACTTGGCCACTTAAGCTAATGAAACAATTAATGGTCGAGAAGGACGGAGAAAGTTGGATAGAAACATTCTTCTTCAAAAAAGGATAAATTTGAATTCCCCAAAGGCAATTAGGGAGTGCTTCTCTCTCTCTAGATTCTAGAGAGAGAAAGTATAGCGACCCCGGTCTTTTCCCATTTGATTATTGTATCCGGACGTGGGTTCCGTTTATTTGGTCATTGTTTATTTGTTGTTGTTGTCCTTTATTTTCTCATTTGGAGTTATAGGATGTGTTGGGCAGGTTTGTTTCAGGTTGGTTGGGTTCGTAAGCCAAGTGTTGCTGTCCAGTTTTTGGGTTGGTCGCTCGAGCGAGGGCTTGGTCGCTCGAGCGATGGTTGTATTTTGTGTCTGGTGGCTCGATCCAGCTTTTCTTCGACCGAGCGAGCGATTGCGTCTAGTATAGACCGGAGAGCAGTGTTTCTTCGCTCGAACGAGCGAGGTGTTTGTTTTTTCGAGTTCCTCGCTCGAGCGAGAATTCTGTCGCTCGAGCGTGCTCCTGGGTTGCAGACCTGAAGCATTGCATTCTTGACTCGAGCGAGATTTTCTTTGCTCGAGTGAGGTTTTCGTGTGTCTGGTCGCTCGAGCGACCAAGTGTTCGCTCGAGCGAGCCTGTCAGGTTTATATACGCAGCAGCGGTTTTTAAAACATTTTTTCACATCATTTTGATCCTAAAACCCTAGTTCCGAGTTCTCTCTCCCTCTACTCACCTTCTCTCTTAGGTTTCATCACCTTTTAGGGTGTTTCTACCCTAGTTGCTTTATTAAAAAGATAGAGTGAGTCGAGAGCTTCGTTTTAATCTGAGAGTTTGTAGTTTCGGAGCACTTTGGTTTTGGGTCATCATCTCCGTCTTCTCCATTCGGGTTATTTTCTTCGAGGTAGGGATTTCCTACTCCATCTTATAAGTTTTGTTCTAAGTTTTAGTATTTTGATATGTTGGGGGCACTTTGGTAATTTTGGGAAAAACCCTAGTTGTATTAATAAATTAATTTGTATAATTAATTTAAGGAAATTGGGGAAATATGGTTAAATTCATGTTGGACTTAAACTTGGCCGCTTAAGCTAACGAAACTGTTCGTTGCCTAAGCTAATTGGATCCTAGAAAAAAAGAGAGCGGGGC